CCGCACTTGCTCCCTACTCGACAAGTTGCGCGGAACACTTTTGAGGCTGTCTGAATGCACATGAGATTACATGTTCAGCGGTGACGATGTGTGTGCCACAATGGGAATAAGCGACGCATGCTAATATTGCTATATCCGGGGTGCGCGATAGACTTACTCCACTTGGTGCACACTGGGCAACGTATAGACATATTGCTAAAAAAGTCCATTAACCGGCAGTGGACTTCTCACTTCAAACTACCATGGCCGGCTGCTTGTCATATTCGACCCCTTCCACAGTACTCATCTTCCTTTTTTCTCTACATTTGTGTCTGTATGCCTCTTTTATATCTATGAATCGCTCTTCTGTTCTCCACCCCTCGACTTTCTTCTACTTTGATGAACCTTCCTTCTGTGAACTCAAAGTCAATTAAATACCTAATGATAGCTATCAAACGCCTGCCTTTTGAAATAAATAAATAACCTTATCCACAATATACCGACTGAATAAACTTGTACCGTGCCGTACGTCTGTTTTCTTCATAGCTGGACTATAGCTTTGTTAGTTATGGGAGTCTAGCTAGATGTAGGAGAAACTGCCACAGAGACTTCTGAGTCGGTCAGGCTTTAGTAGTGTAGCAATCCCCTGCAAATGTTAGACCATTTTCCGATTAGTGTTAATGGACTATGGAATTTTATCGATACCGCGGTCTCATTCACACAAAAAAGCCTGAAATGATTCACTTGTCAATTTAAGTTCACTGATTTGCTACTAAACTTCTAATTCAGATTCAAGGATTTATTGAAATTGTTGGAAATGCATCCTTACTTTGTTCCGTCATGAACAAAGATGTGAGTGTTACTTGTTTTCAATATAATTTAATAATTTGAAACCAAGCTAAATGCTAACACCACCCATAACATCCAAGCGTATTATTGCTTCAGATCCAGAGACCTGTAAATATGCCGAATCAGGCATATGCAACGAAATTTATGACTGAGGAGTTAAAGATTGAAGAATTCAAGCAATACAAAACAATCTCTCAAATAGGCTTCTTTTTAGACTGTCCGAATTGATATTTAAGGCAATTGGAGTCAATGATATTTCCCGCTTTATAATCTATTACAAAGATTAAAACTTCATAAAATGATATATAGGATCATCTTTCTTAAATAGTTGGACGAATCTCATAATAAAATAACAGTGACATTTAAAATGATGGTGAAAGAAATCGATCAATGTGAAATCTTTCAAATCACACCACAACACAAAGTCAATAACACAACATATAAGAAGTGAACTAAAGCATCTCAGAGTTGAAGTTAAAAATCGGAGCCTCTAACAAAATAAGAGCGCTCAATACATGCAATAAACTGATTGGCGGTCTCATTAAATTCTGCAATTATATTCTCGGGTTCTTGCTCCTCATCATCCTTGTACATTTGCACATCGTCTTCCGAGAAATAGGAGTCCAACATCTGTCTGCCCCACTTGAATCGATTTAATCCCGACCACATGATGAAACTTGAGACCCCGAAATCCACCATCTCATGATCATGACTCTGCAGAGTTGAATCTCGGCGCACAATCTCAAAACTGTCTGTCAATATGGCCACAAACATACTCAACATAATGAAGATGATGAATAGAGAGAAACCGGCGAACACCATGGGGCCAAGAATCGGTTCGCGTTCATACATACCCTTGACATCGAACTTCCCCAGAACAATCTGGAAACTTGTTTGCATGGAGGAGTTCATGATGCTGTACGCCGTCATGGTATCGTAAAAAAGAAGATAAAATGTGGCCACAAATGAGAAGAAAATTAAAGCGAAAAAAATGAAGAAGTACTTCATATCGCGGTTGGCGTAGGTTAGAACGGAACCCAGTAGACCAATATTCCTGTTAAAACGTAGAATATGCATAAAGAGTGGGATAGCCACAAATGTTATGAGAGCGACCAGATAGGAGAGAATCTCATTCAAGTTGGCAACCTTCTGGAAATTAGCGTATCCATTGCCGTTAGAACGATAGAATTCCACGGTAAGCTTCTTAACTTCTATGCTGATGTAGACGTAGATTGCAATGGCACTAAACGAACAGCAAATGATAAAGATCTGAGCCCAGGCATGGAAAATACCAAAGTAATTCAAACGTTTTCGCCAAAGATTTCTCAACTCTTTTATCAGTAGACCAGCAAGAGCTAACACAAACAGAATCTGAAAGTGAAATGAATGAATGCGAATACGAAGGTCAGTCAAAAATGGCATTAAGCAGTAAAACGAACTTGACAAGCCAATTCGAAAGCCTTGACACTTCTCATTGAGAATGACAGCAGATTAGCAGGTTCTATTCTGAAAGATGGAATG